ATGACATGGAGCTCGACGATCTGGAGCAGAAGATCGCAATAAGCGAACACTACCTGGGAGATGACAGCAGCGTGCGCTCGAGAGGTCTCACGTTGGCCTTTGCCAAACTGTGGCGCCTTCCTTCAAGTAAGACCGTCAAAGCCTTGCGGTCAACCTTGCAGGTCGGGGAGATCCTATCCCTTGTTCACCTACTCAGGGTCGAGCTGGTGCAGGGCGCATGGACCTCGCTGTACCTGGACCCCACAAGCTTCGACTCGGAGGGCAACGAGCCGCCGCCAGACGGTGTCATCGCCCTCATCTCCGACCTCCTGGGTCGCTGTCTGGATGCCGTGGGCTCGGGTGGGTGGTTGCTCAACGACGCCATGGCGGGCGTGGACAACGGAGACACTGGTGACTTCATCACGGCGCTCAAGCTCGAGGTCGCAGCCGCGCTCGAGGGCATTAATGAGGCCGTCAAGCTCCAGGGTTTCGTCAGCGAGTCGGTAAGATACGGCCTCGCGGCCCAGAAGAGCGGCGTTGCCCGCCAGACCTGGAACACCAACAAGCCCATCACGATGCACATGGAGGGGCGGGAATCACGACTGATGCCTCTCGGCCTCAAGGTCAAGGCGCTGCCAACCAAGGAGAAGGTCGTGTCTGGAGGCGAGGTGGTGCAACGAAGCATGCGTGAGACCGGACACCTGATCAGCCAGAAGGTGGAGGCCTACTCGCTGGAGAAATTGGTTATTTGAGCCGCAAAGTCCGGAAGCTGGCACACGCACGCATACACACACCTCCACACACACATACACCCTGGGCGAAGGCCAAGGCTATCGGCCAGGCAGACGTCCGATTATGGGGTGCATGCGCGGGCTGTCTGACTCGCTTATGCGGCTTGCTTCTTCTCGCTGCGCTCGTGGTGTGGTGTGATCTGCGCTATTGCCTGCATTGGCGGCGTCTTGGGTTCCGGTGGTGCACACAGCCATCTGAGGTCAGCAGACTGGATGTACTGCAGCAAAACATTAATGTTTGGTTGTCGAAAAGGGTCAATCTAAACCTTGCAGCGAAAGTAGCCTACCTATTTCCGGGACGGCTATTTACTTGGGGGGACAAAACAGAGAAAGAGAGAACAGCGCGGCATGAATCGGATATTCACGGTTGGATAGATAGGAGTACCATAATCCTCTAGGCGTTTATACCATGGATGAATTAAGTTTTTTAGCATGTGCCCTTTTCCCCTGGGCCGTATTCCCATTCTTGGAAATGATAATCGCCAAGCCTTTGTTTACATGCATGGCAATGAGGGCTGCATGATTGATGAACTCAATGCCCTCGATAGGCCATCCAATTAGATGAGGGGTGAACATGCACAGAGTACTAAGCATTTCAAAGTAGGCATGGAGGTTTCATGAATCAACCAGAGCCTTGTAGGCAGTCTCACCGCTCAAACAGCCTCAAGCGAGACCCCATCACATGAAACTACGCCTTCCTTTTTTCCCTTTTCACGTTGTACGTCAGAGCCTTTGTGGCATTCCAGGTCAATGCAGCACGAGCATGCCTGACTCGGTTCCAGCGAGTTTTCAGCCGTTCTGAACCCATTCAGCACTATCATTGACGTGGAGTGGCTCTACCACTCAGCCGCAAGGCAGGTGAGACTAATCGTTCAGGGGGTTCGGAACCTCCCTCTTCTCAAACCTCGAAACACTCGCAGATGATAACAATAGCTGCGACGAGCTTTCTATTCGGGCAACAGGATGACGAGGGGTTCGGTAACACGGCTTTTCTCCAACGTCATCAGCCTTCCTACCGTAACCTACAAAACAATTGTGTTCATTAGGGGGTTTCGAAGCCCGTCGTGCTGCCCCAAAGTCTGCGCGGGGGCTCGTCCGCTGATGACATTGTCTTGTCGCCTTGGCACAAAGCCATCGTCGGGCTCGCGACTCGCCGCCGAGGATCCGGAGAGCCTCATCTCGACGAGACGACTCTACTAAGCCGACACAAGCCAGCGATAAGGCGGCTCAAGCTCAGTATTAGATTCGAACTCTATTATCAATGGTGATTAGCAAGCCCGGGCGAGCGACCTCGGAGGGAGAGAGAGCCATGTGACAGCCTCGACCCAAGAGCATGGACGGGGATTTCAGGTTTTTTGTACGTCTGTGCGCCCGAGCCGGAGGGGCTTCCTCGTCCTTGGTGTCGCCCAGACACACCTCCTGATCACCCAGTCTCCGCCCCTCTGTTATGACTATCTTTGTTGTTTTAATGCCCCGCGACCGGCGAACTGGCTCGGGTCTTCGGGGATACCACGACGGAGCGAGGCAGCGAGTTACGCGGTATCCAGTCGCGGAGCCCTCAAGGGGAGTGGGCCGATGGGGTGTCTGTCCCTTGTCTGCTTCGAGAAAACCGTCCCATCCCAGCGCTCCGGACGCACGGCATGGCGGGTGGCACATGTGGAACTGGGAAGGCAACGTTGTCTGGGCGCGATTCAGGACGCCTGTCCTGCCCTGAGGGCGTCCGTCTATCTGCGAACGAGGCTAATTGCCTGGTCGTGAAGCAGTTCGTGGAACCGTTAGTCGCATGCGAACCTGTTCCCCTAGCGTGGTTAGCCGTCAGGCAGAACAATAGATGAGGCGGGGTGAGTTGGAAGCCAGATCCAGCGGCGTCGGCCGCCATCGCTCAGCTCCAGCTAGCTAGTTAGCATCACCAACGGGCCGGGATGGATCGTATAGGCTAGGAGGCAAAAATGGGGATGGTGAAGGCATGACAGTCATCTCGTTGCTAAAAGGGGGCCTTTGGCGTGAAAACTAGACAGAGCAGAGTCATAGGCCGGCTGCCAAGCGCAGGACAGACGGGCAATTGGTCAGCATGGAGAAGGGAACTGTAAGTCCCTGTGACCTGCGTGGCCTTCAAAGTGCATATCAGATGAGTGGGAGCAAGGGGACACGAGGCCAGTCAGAAGACGAGAGGATGGAGGGGCAAGATTTCTTGGCGATGGATCCCCTGGATGACTTGCTGATGTGGTGCATCTGCAGGATGAGGGGCAGTGCGGCTGACAAAAAGAGCCCGACAGTGAGGTAGGTCAGTTGCTTTGTAAACGTCGCTGCTGTTTATGTCACCCTCCCGGAGACCTCCGGCCGTAGGGCGCAGGCACTACTAACTCTACTAGAGGGCTTTCTAGAAGGCAGACCGATCCACCGACCATAATGTAGGGGTGCTCCAGGGGCTTGAGAGATCTCCCAAACTCTTTCTTGGCTCTATTTTTCTGACGTAGGTGCCCTACCATTGTTCTCCGTCATGCACACGGGCCGGACACGGCAGCCAAGCTCCTTGGCTCCAGGTAGCAGCTTTAGCACACCACCAGGCGCTTCGTATCTTGGTGTAGCGTTTCATTATGATGCTGTTTTGAAAATTTTATTCGCCTCTTTGTAGATGAAAATGTGGATGAGTCAAATGATGTGGATTGTTTTCTCTTGAGATTTGATTGATCATTTTCTCTCCTTTTCAACAGTCCTCTGTCAATGGCCCCCCTAAACAATTCTAGGCTTGAGCAGGTCTGCGGGGGGCGTGTTGGAGTGAAGCAGAGTCAAGATAGCTGCAGCCATCGATAGGTATACGCACACACCCTCTTCTCTGCAACCGCATCGAGTTTCCGTTCTCGAGATGGTGTCGAGCCGTGTTGTTTGGTGCAGTGCCTATCTCTTTCCTGGATGGATGCTGCACGGCAAATAGTATTTCGTATCGTGCGGAGGCGCCGTCAAGCTGGCAGTGCTGCTGCAGGCGAGAAGCATCCATCACATGCGGTAGGTGGTAGCAATGATAGGGGTCGAGGGCTGTCTGCAAGGGAGCGGCCAGAGGGTACCCAGGCTCCTGCAGATGCACGACAGCGGGCAGCTACAGTGGCGCAGCGTGCCCCGCAAGACCCCTAAACCGCAGCGTGGGACGGGCTATAGCGGGCGGCTAGGCTGGAGAGGCCACTAACTCGACGATTGGGCAGCCCTGCAGTGGGCCCGGTCGAGAACCGCCCAGTGACACAGAACGGGCCAGAGCCAATGATGACAATGATGTCACAACCGTTCCTCTGCCTAGCCAAACATCGTTGCCGCCGCCCCTCCTTCGTCTCCCATCTTTCCTCACTCGACCCCCAAGCTGACCAGCTCCATCAACACGGGCGACGGCCATGCTGCCAAGATCTTCCCGGCTAAACTGCTTGTGGCCGCTTGACCCCGTGTCTGTTGTCTGTTTGTCTGTTTATCGCCCTCGCTCTCGCTCTCCCTGCCCGCATGGCTCTTCCAGGCGCTTCCCCACGCCATCGGGGAATGGAATCGAGTATGTAATGATTAGGTTAGTAGGTAGAGCACGCAGATACGCTTGTAGAGTAGCCCTGCTTTCTAGCCTAAGCGTGGCATTTGCCTGTGACTATCTTTCCACACCATCACCTCTTTGACGCCCGATTTCTTCCTCCTTCATCATCATCATCGCTACGTCCCCTCATTCACCCTCGCCCCAGTCTGTGCAAGTGAGTGAAGCGCACGCAAACATAACGTTTCCGTAGAACAAGGGCTGCCGAGAACAAGACAGTCCCCGGCACAGCCTTATCCCAGTCTAAGCAACACAATAGCGAGGCCGTGGTTGGTTGCGCTTGTGACATCGACTCGACAAGGCCAAACAGAGGCCAAAGCCAGCAAGCAAGCCTCGCCGTCCTGGTTTGCTTGTATCACCCCCTCACCCCCTTCATTTCATTCTCCTGAACGGTGTACAAATATATCTGGACCTCCCCCCCGGCTGTCAACAGACAGGAGAAGATCATATACGCCACCAGCAACGTGTATAAGACAAGTCTTATAGCCACCACTCACCCATCTCCACCACCACGCATATCGACGGCATCCCGGGACTGATAGAAATAAGGCCTGGAGCCCTCGGAAAATTTACTCTTTTTTCCCCTTCCAGTGCACTGCCATACCTATTCCCAGTCATTTCGGCCTTCCCTGGCCCCCCTACCACTCCCGAGAATTCTCCACGCTATGCCCATGACTGGTGGCATCCCAGTCGAGCAACGCATCGACGCAATCGATGTTTTTGCCCGTAACATCTACCTCCGGACCAAGCAGGACCCCTCCCTAGCTGAAGTTGCAGACGCTGTTCGCCAGCTCCATACCGGCCTGCGACATCTCCGTGTTGAAGCTGCCGACCCAGACTCGCTCCTCAGCGACCCCTCGAGCGTCTACTCCAGCCAGGTTTCCCCTCTTGTCGAGGATTGCGCCCGGACTCTGAGACTTCTCGAACATGCATTGAACGATGAGGGTCGAGGCCTGGGCTCGGTCAAGGCTCAGCTCAAGGGCAGGAAAGCCACAATCGACTCGTTCCTTGATGCCGTCCAACTGCAGAATCCCAGAAACAGACCTGGTAAATCCGTAGTGGATACCACACAGCCAAGTCTCGATGGCATCAAAGACAAGGTCGATCAGATCGCAGAGAAGATCTTCCAACGAAAGAATAGTGGGTTCGGAGACGGCGACGACAGCCTTTGGGAGGTGTTCCAATCAGAGCTGGAGGGGCAAGGCTTCGATCCGGCCATCCTCAGACAGCACAAGGTATGTTTCAGACATTTTGCTTTTTTCTCCTCTTTGCCCGTCGTGCCAGGTTCCGGGACTGACCGCTTTCACATAGGACGTTCTCCGAGCCTACATTCGGAGCATCCAGGCTCTGTCCCACAGTAATGGCTCCCCACCTACTCTCCAACGGCTTCTCAAATATGAGGAGAAGACAGCCCGGGTCCCTTCTGATGAAAAAGAAGCAGTACCCCAATCACCAGTGGACAATCCCAAATACATTGTCCACCCAGAAGCAGACGGCCCCAAGGCCAAGGACCCTCCTCCTCCTTTGCCACCCAAGATACCTCTCACCCAAGACTTACAGCAGCCCGTAGCAGAGCTCCCAGCCTCAGCCGGCGCTATCACTCGCACCAACCCCTCCGACAACATGACACTTATATCCACAAAGGAACTCTTGGCCATGGACAGCCTTGACTCAGACATGGCCCAGCTACAATTACATAAACATCATCACCATCATCATCGCCATCATTCTCGGGATGCAATGGGTCACTCCCCTCGGGAGTCGTACCGTGGCTCCAGCGGCCGTCTCAACCTCCCAGATCAACAAGACTCTTCTGTCTTCTATGGCTCGTCACCTCTTGTTGCCCCGCCAAGGGGGTACCACTCCCTCGGGAGCTCGCCATCAAACCCAGGGATGGCACACCAGTTCCGTCTAGCCCCCGATCGATATGGTCGCCAGATCCCTCATGACGCAGAGTGGACAAAGATCAACAGAGACCTGGTCAGTCCCCAGGTCTTAGAGAAGGCTCGGGTCAGATATGAAGCTCGGCCCAAGTATGTGGCCATCTTGGGTCACCTAACAAAGGAACAAATCGCCGACTTCGTCAGACAGACCACCGACGTCCGGCGGGCGAGAAATATCCGCCAGAGCCAGAGGGCAGATTCCAGAAGCAGTCGGGATGACGATGACGACGACAGCGACGAAAGCGACAAGTTCAGCGACAGTGACACAACAGACATCGACGACGACAAGACATCAGAGAAGGGAACAAAGTCGTACCCCTTCATCGTCAGCCCCCCTGACAGGACCTCGCCCTCAAGCACCGTCCCTCCCAAGTCCATCCTCAAGAACAAGAACCACGTCCATTTCGCGGAACACGGAGACTCCGACTCAAGGATCTCCCGCTCTCTCAAAGACGATAGGTCAAGATCCGATGACTACCATCACCGAAGCCGCCGTGACAGCGACAACTACGGCAGCAGGGACTACCATCGCGAGCCCTCAGATCGCTCCTCCCACCACTCCTCCAAGCGCCACTCACCCCCCGACGACAGAGACCGCCACGACCGGCCCCGGCACCACAACGACGACCGCGACTCCCACCACAGCAACAGCTCCAGATATAGAGAGCAAGGTCGCCGCCAGCAACGCGACAGCGACAGCCGGAAGTCGAAAAAGAATTCCCTGGGCGGAACCCTCGGCGCGGTCGGCATCGGCGGCGCCGCTGTGAGCCTCCTCAGCGTCCTCGCCGAGGCCGCCATATAAAACAACCGAGAGAAAACAAGCCAAGGAAAGCTGGTTCTTCCTCGCTTCCCATTTCCTTACCACCTACATAATATCATTATCCCCTTCTAACCAATTTTACCTTCTCCTTTGTCAGATTGTCAAAAACCTACATTATAATAATCATCATGTTTTCCTCTGTACCTTTTTTGTAACTTTCTTTGTTTTTTTCCTCGGGGATGAGTGGCAAAATTATGAGTAACGGCTTACTGTACTGCACGGCTTCGGAAAAATTTGGATATACCCTCAGAGCGGCCACTTTTGACGATTCAATGAAGAGAAGGGAACAGAACTTCTGCATGTTTTCCCCTTCGTTTTAAGTCTTGGATTTCGGTGTTTTTTTTTTTTTTTTTGTAAAGAGATTGTCATTTTAGAGCCATCTCATTTGTCATCACTTCATGAACTTTTTCTTAGATATACGCCACGATATGTTAGCTATGAAATTGTACTTTACTTTATGATACACTATAATGCCATGCCTGTCTGCCACGGTGAACATGTGAATATATCTGCCTCTTTCTCTTTTCCCCCTTTCTAGATGGCGTGTTGATACAATCACATTGACATTTCTTGCTCCAGCCTCTTCCACCAGGCGTTCGCGTACGTCGCACGCGAGCCTTCAGCGGGCGGGATCCGCGCTGTGCCGAGTCTCTCGAAGGGTATCCTCAGGTTTTCCCGGATTTCCATTTTTCTATTGGTAGGCCACTTGAAGTCTGGGTTCTCAACAAATTTGCCTGTTTCCAAGTCTCTGATTTTGCGCTTCTGTCCATTCTTGTCAGTCTTGAACGTGAAGACTTGCGAAGCCCCCTTTTTCTGCTGGAGGACTTGGCGGCCCGTGTGTTTCTTCTCGTACCGCGGCGTGGTTCCGGTGCCCTTCAGAGATAGCTCCCCAGTGGCGGTCCTATAGCGGATGCCAGTGGCAAAGAATTCCGGGTAGTCGCGGATGAGATCGGGGATATCAACACTGGTGAAGGTGCTCTTTCGGTGATGTTGGCTGTCTGAGACTTTGGAAAGAATGTCCTTGAACCAAAGGGCGATGCGGTTGAAAACAAAGTCCTTCCGAACCTCTGCTCTAGTACGACGCTGAAAGGCAAAGGAAGATGCGGTCAAAACGGAGGAAAGAGTACGACTTGCTCGCGTGGTAGGCCTCTCGCGGTGGGCGTCGTTGAATAACACCTCATCAAATATGGCGGCTTCGTATTCCTTGACAACCGCTTCATAAAATGGCATGGCTGTATCGCGTATAAGATCTACCGCCCCTCTCATGTCACGCGTGATAATGAGAGTCCTAATATAGGTATCCAAATCTTCAAAGGACGGCGTGATATTGTACGGTGCTGAAGTCATCACCTCCCATATATGCCGGACATCGCCAGTGCTGACGTACGTTGTAGTCTCCTCGCCGAGCAGACGTCGCGAAACGCGCAGCTTCTTGGAAGCACAGACATATGTCCAATTAAGCAGATTTGACCACGTCTTGGCTGAAATAGCTATCTCATACCTGCGCGAGATGAAGTCAATGACTCGCATGCCGACCGAAATCTCCGACATAGCCCCAAAGGCCTCGACGAGAGCAAAGAGCAGACGATCAGAGGGATAAAGGCTAGAGTCCTTCTGGATATCAATACCACCAGTGATGGTTTGGGTTTCTTGGTCAAATTCAATACCATAAAATGGCTTCAAGATTTCCTGAAGGATGGAGTAGGAGCTATTGGAGCGGGAAAACGCCTCGATAGCTGTCGGCAGCACCTCAGCGAAGTCATGCACGGACAATCGAAGCCGAACCCAGTGGTTCCAGAAACTGCGGAAGTTCGTGGCACCCTGATGTCGCACCAGCCGACGACTGTCCTGACGGGGGTCATACCGGTTACGATTCCAAGGCTGCCGCTTTGTCGCGTTCTCGCTAAATCGAAGACTTTCCATGGCCGACAATCTGGCTGTCATGGCGATCTTCGTTTCGTTGCTTTCCTCCGGAAGATCACGCGATTCATTCGCGGTCACCAGGTTGAGAGGGTCAACGACTACCCGATTGCGATCAAATTGATAGTTTGAAGGTTCAGTCATGAAGCGAGCCCTCAGATACTCAATCCATGTACGGCCAGTGCGGGATTGACGCAGTCCCTGGTCGCTTGAAAATGTGAGCAAGGCTGACGCCAGGTGATGATCAGCAGTGATACCAGCAATCCGCAAAAAGACTTCGAAGTCGGCCACCAGCAGAGGGCAGTGCTCGCTTCTCTGCCGCAAGTAAATGATGGTAACAATTCCCTGAAAGAGCCTACGATGATGAGCGCGAACGCCGAGATCGTCCATCAGTTTACCAACATCCGTGACCTCCGTCTGCCCTTGGGTGATGAGAAGTCCATTCGCCGCATCCCCTTCGGGATATCTAGCCGGATCAATGCCGCGAATTATCTCGGAAAGCGTAGGGCTCGGTAGGATGTCAAACTGCTTGACAGCAAGCTCATGGTCCCGGGCATACTTATCACCCAGGACATCCGTCCAGGCAACGAACTCCTTGGAGATGGCGGCGGCATCCTTCGCTCGAACAGCAGCCAAGAGCCGAGAAAGGGGAGAGCGCGGTGCTATGTACAGCTGAGGGTCTCCAAAAGGCGCGGGAGCCACATGAGATGGCCGCAATAGATCAATGTCTGAAGCCCCGGCAATAGAGGCGAAATTCCGTAGCCGCTCCACTGCCCCAGATTTGCTCCATCGTGTCTGGAGATTCCGATGGACTTGCGACCGTGGTCTTTGTGGGGCGAGGCGCTGACATAGACAGGCCCTAGCAGGGAGACACTGCCTAGCGGCCATGATGGGAGGGAGAGCTCAGGAAAGCATGAACGAGTGAATTGAGAGCCTCAAATTGCTATGCGGAGGGCAGAAGATGTGAAAAGGAGCGAATGCTTTTGGTGTAGCATTCTTCACGCGCGTTGTCACAGAGTTGGAGTTGGGGTAGGTTGCAGTGAGGGACACAACACCGGTTTAATGCATAATTAGCATTGAGGGGGCAGGAGCATGCATTTAGGCGATAAGCTGTGCCTGGGGAAATGCCGATGATTTTCCGGCCAGACCTGACACCCAATCGTACGTCACGTGACGATAGTAATGGAGCTCCTCAAACCAGCTACAGCAGATTTGCAGGGTTGAGTAAGGCCACACAGAGTCGACTCGACGCCACATCGCGAAAGAACGCATTACCCAGAGGACCAGAAACACCAAAGGGCTCTTTTTACGCATAATCAAAATGGCGGATACCGGCGACGACTCCAACCACGTATCAGAGCCCCTCGACCTCGTGCGGTTATTACTGAATGAGGTTGTCTTCGTGAAGCTGAGAGGCGACCGAGAGCTAAAGGGCAAGCTGCACGTATGTCTATCCCTTCGTCACTTGATTTTTTGCTTAGTATTCTTATCATGAGACAGGCATATGACAGCCATTGCAATCTGGTTCTAGGAGAGGTTGAGGAGACCATTTATGCAGTGGATGATGACGATGAAGATGAGGAGGTCAAGGTGAGCCACTACGCCCCATGATGGTCCTTGTGTTGATTCACGGTGCTAATTTCCAACCAGACCATCAGCAGAAAATCAGAGATGCTCTTTGTTCGAGGTGTGTTATTCTGATCTAACAACAACCGTTTATTTCTCTAACAGGCATGCAGGCGACAGTGTTGTCTTAATATCACCTCATGTGCCGCTCTGAGTCAACCCGCCATTGGAGTAAGATGCAACGAACTCATAATGAGCGAGTAGGAAGCCCACATTACCAGATATGTTGAGCCGCCAACAACCTTAATTTCCAGGCGGTGGCATGGCCGTGAAATGACTCTTGATGAGGAGCCACGGATATTATGTCCACATCATATCTACTCAGCCTAACTAGTACTTACCGCTATGGCTGCTCAGATCTTGGCTAATTCCTCAGCGCGATGAGCTCCAATCAGCTGCTGGTAAGATACTCAAGTCTGTGTGTTTGAGGGGGCAAAAGCATGGCTAGAAAGCGACTCGACGACTTATCCAATAAAAATAATAAGCCATCCTCTGCCTTCTTCCTGTCCTCGCAGCCATCGTACCTGTTAAGTGAATATTCCCGTTGTAGCTATATCCGTACGTCAGACGCCTTAGGTAAGCACTTCTCTGCCCACTTCCCTCTCGAGCCCGCTTTTCGGGTTATCGATAGGCGGGCAGCCCAGCAAGGCTCAGCTACGAGCCACGACCCCGGATTATTACCCACGTCACTGCCACTTTCGCCCCTCCAGCCTCACGAATGACTCCTCGGTGCCCTCCATCAGTCACGCCAGGCAACTGGAACGAGTCAACCGGCGAGCGAGTCACCCCATGAACAACTAATCTTACTTATTCCTCCTCACGTCTCGTTCACAATTCAAGTTTCATTGCTTCTTCATGATCATTCGTATACCAGCGTCGTGGGATTGGGCACAATCGCACACGAACCACCATGTCAAATAAAGGCAAGAATCAACAGCGCGACCGGCGCAAAGGCGAATCTGTATGACTCAGCTCTCCTCAGGACTGTATACCTCGTTGTCTGTTTCTCACATCTTGCTTGCCAGGCACTAAGCGACTTCGCCGACTACGTGGAACAACAACAGAGCTTCAGATACCCAGCATCCCATCCCGCAGCAAAAGAGAAGAGCACCGAAGACGCCCAGCACCATGAGGAACTAGATGAGCTCTTCGACAATCTCGACCTCGACGACTCGGCACCCCAAGTCCCCCTGAAAGAGCTGTTGCTCAGCTCCGACGACGACTCCCTCAAGAAGCTCGAAGATGTCATCACCGACCGAATAACAGAGGGCTTTGGAGAGACTGTGTTTGAGGTCGGTTTCGAAAACAATGGCGACTCAATGCAGTTGACGCCGGAGGAGTGGGATCAGGCATACAAAAGACTGGTTGAAGGGGCCAAGAGGATACGGGCCGACTGCGAGCTTCTCATCACCAAGAACGTCGGCGGCGACAAGGAGGCCGCGAGCACCACAGCCAAGCCATCCAAGGACAAGAGCTGCAGTGGCAAGATACTCATTCGCCAGATCCCATCTAAAACCGAAGATGTCATTGAGACGAGGATAGCAGTCGTGGGGAATGGTAAGCCACCAGCGAGCGTCTTGCACCTAATCGCAGTCTAACCAGAGACAGTTGATGCTGGAAAGAGCTCCCTGCTTGGTGTCTTGGTTAAAGGCGACCTAGACGACGGACGAGGGAAGGCCCGTGTGAATCTGTTTAGACACAAGCACGAGATAGAGACTGGCCGGACCAGCTCCGTCGGAATGGAAATCATGGGGTTCGACAGTGTCGGTCAAGTCGTCACGTCCGACACCCCAGGCCGTAAGTCTTATTTTGTCCTTTTGTGGTAGGCAAGCAGCTCTAACATTTCCAAAAGGCAAGCTCTCATGGGAAGAGATCGGGAAACGGAGCGCCAAGGTAATCACCTTCACTGATTTGGCAGGCCACGAGAAGTACCTAAGAACGACGGTGTTTGGTCTTTTGTCTAGCAGCCCCAATTACTGTCTACTAATGGTAGCTGCAAACAACGGTCTTGTCGGCATGAGCAAAGAGCACTTGGGAATCGCTCTAGCACTCAACGTCCCCGTCATGGTGGTGGTGACCAAGATTGATATTTGCCCACCCAATATTCTCGAGGAAACCATCACTCAAATCACCAAGATCATGAAGAGTCCAGGCGCCCGAAAGATACCAACTTTCATCCGCGATCGCGAGCAGTGCATTAACACCGCTACACAGTTCGTCAGCCAGCGGATATGCCCCGTCTTCCTAGTCTCCAACGTGACCGGGGAGTGCCTCGACCTTGTGAGGACGTTCCTGAATATCCTCCCTCACCACGGTCGATACAACGCCGACGCTCCCTTCGAGTTCCATGTGAATGACACCTTCTCAGTGCCCTTCACCGGGACTGTTGTGTCCGGGATTGTGCGGTCAGGTGTGGCGCATGAGGGTGACGATGTGCTCATCGGCCCAGACTCCCTTGGCCAGTTCACCCAAACAGCTATCCGATCCATTGAGCGCAAGCGGATACGCGTGCCCGCAGTATCTGCCGGTCAGTCTGCCTCTTTCGCCCTGAAGCGAGTGAAGCGGAAGGACGTAAGAAAGGGTATGGTGGTTCTCCCCAAGATTGAAGGGAAGCCCGCCCCCAAAGTTCACCGAGAGTTCATTGCCGAAGGTTCGTCGTTGCATACATTCCACATCGCCACGGGGACATGCTAACATATTTCTCGCCCCAGTTCTCATTCTCTCCCACGCCACCACCATCAAGACCAAGTACCAGGCCATGCTTCATGTTGGACCAGTCTCCCAGACTTGCGCTATAATTGACATTGACCGAGAGCTCATCCGAACTGGCGACCGCGCCACCGTGGCCTTCCGCTTCGTCCAGCGCCCAGAGTACCTGGCGCCCGGTGACAGGCTCCTCTTCCGCGAGGGACGCACCAAAGGTCTTGGTATTGTCAAGTCCGTTGGCTACGACCCGTCTAAGCCCCTAATGCCCGCCAAACCCATCACTGGCGAGGAGGGCGAGGCCCAAGCAGGGAAGGAAGTAAAGGTAGGCGCTTGAGTGCACAAATATTATTTTCCTTTTCTCATATGATTCACTCCTGGTCTTCTATTTCTCCCGACCCAGACAGCTCTAGGCTGTATTCTTTACTTGTTCAGTGGTTTTGCTTTATTCCTTTTTTATGTGTGTGTTTTTTAAACTCCTCGGTTTGGTCAGTGTCCTGGTACGTATTAAGGACGGGGAATTCGCAGGCCCGGCAAAGGCGTCAAGGAAGGTATTTTGTCTTGGTTCGAACATGACGTTTGTTGCTTGATTATGAACGGCATATTTGCCTCCTCTCTTGGTTTGTCGCCAATTGAGACTCGAAGTATTTCTAGTCTAGAACGAATATATTCATTTCGTCTAAGAATGTGTTAAGCGGTGATATAATGCCATAGCTCGGGTTAGAACATTTCGCTCCAGCCGAGTTTTCTTCTAGCTCGCCGATGTATATTAAAATTGGAGTACGACAAGAAGTCGTCGACCACGGCTTACCTTACTTATTCTATCCAGTCATGGACGCAAAATACAGGAGATGAGATGTATGAAGATTGACTATTTTTATTGATATATGTATGAGAAGGAGATATATCATCTCGCAAGTATGAGTTTGAAGACTATATGGACGCATACACCAGCCAAATAGAACCATTGCCCACGGTAGCGGGCTATCCAATCCAATCTATGTGAAAACAGAAACCGGTAAACGCCAATACCCAGTCGTTTAATAATATGCCCAATGCTAGTCCATATGTCCAAAATGTGGTAATGAAAACGCTATATAAGAAAAGCCAAGATGGCAGAAAGAAGAGAAATGTCCAAGGAAAGTTGGGATGCTGTGTATTTACACGAGCTTATGTAGATTTTGACAAAAGGTTGAGAATGAAATCAAGAGCCAATTTCGGAGAATGATTTCGAGTTGGTGTGTGTAGGGTGAGTAGAAGGTGGGAGAGTGAGTCCGTGATTTGTTCATGTGGCAATATTTGCAATATTCAGCCCTAGATTCGGGCGAGACAATTCCATGCTCCTGCTGGGCATCCGCCCGATGGGGCTTCGGGGATGGGCCACATTAACACGTCCAGATCGATCGAGGATCCTTGGAGGAGTGGCGTCATCGTCTGACCCAGACGAGTCCTGGTCTTCAAATCCGTAGTGTGCCAAGCGGCTGAAGTAATCCGCCATACCATCGACGCTTGGTGTCCCAACCACAACATCATACTGAGGTGGAGGGCTTATCAAGCTTGGAACAAAAGCAGGAATGTCGGTGTTGATCATAAGAGGGGTCAGTGGTGGTGGGGACTCGTCGTCGTCAATATCAGGCGGGCAGAAGCTGGGAGCTCGGATAAGGTGCATTGGACGAGCTCCACGGGTGCAGGCACCCTGAGGCATGGTTGGGGAGCCCTGCTGTTGGCTAGCTGGATTTGCTGCACCATTGGCAAGGCGGGCAGCTTGAGGCATAATGGGAAGATCTTCCGCACTGCGACCTGCACCAACCAGAGTGGTTGGGACTTCTTGGGGCAGCTCCGTAGGGACGCTCTGAGCATCCGGGCATCCGCAGGAAGTCTGGCATGTCATTGGCTGGTGCTCGTTACCAGTGTAAGCAGGGAGGTTGGTGTTTGCTTGTGTAGCCCTGCAGTTGAGGACCGTGAACGGTGAGTCGATACTGATCTCAAAGTGGCGTCTCTTCGTCCCGGTCGGGTCCTCCGGGTCAAGACGGCTAATACGCATGACGACCTAGATCGATTAGCTGATAACCAAATCACATCAAACTGTGAGCGCTCTTACCTTGATCCAATGGTACACATTGACATTCTTCCAGCTGCAGTCAGCGTTGAGCCTCAATTCCCTGTTCCGAGCCATCATCTGGCAGGTAGGAATTTGGACATTGGCTTCAATTTCGGTTGATCCCCACAAGTTCTCGAGTCCAAGATCCAGGTCTCCAAGGAGGTTCTCAGAGGGCTGTGGTAGCGGCTCAGGGGTCACGCCATGTCTGGATGCCTCCTGCATGCGCCTTCGGGTAGCTTGCTCTCTGGCAGCAGCCCTCTGTTCCGGTGATAGCTCACCACCACGAGTGGCTCTAATATCTGACGAGGCCCAATTCTCAGCCAAGGGCTTGCCGGCGCTCTTCTCAAGAA